CTTCTGAACTTAGCCTCTTTATGTAGTTGCTCTGCTTGTCGCTATTGTTTGGGGACCAAATTAATGGCTGCCGAGGTTCAAGCTGCTACGGCAAGGCAAAGCAGGCCAAGCGCATGGAGAATGTGCTCCTTGAGTTAAATGTGTGTGTGTGTGTGTGCGTGTGTTTTCCTCCATGTGTGTCTGAGTACAAAGGCATACTTGTAAAAGCTTGGCAGTAGTGCAAAGGAATAATATAATGCAAGAAAAATTTGCTATAGAAAAAAAAGCGTGATAGCTTGAGCGGAAGACTAGAAACTAGTCAGAAAATGTGCAAACAAAAAACGCAAAAAAAAAATGGCAACAACACACAAGTGAAACAGCTTGAGATCTTAAGAAAAAAAAATTAAAATGAAAAATAAGACAAGCTTTAACACGATGCTAAGACCGCACACACTTACCTTTGCATATTTACATATGAATTTTTATGCATCCTTTTGTACCAGTGACTTTGTCTTCTTCTTTGCCGAAACCTTGACCGATTAAACAAAAATAACAACTACTATGAATTTTCACAAATTTAATTTCAAATGCCTATCAGTAAGCCTGCTTTATTACACTCATTATTATTACTCATTAGATAGGGCTAGAAGGTGGGGAAAAAGACTCTTTCATTGAACTCAAGCCCCAGCTGAGTCTACGGTGAATCTCTTCTAAGAAACCATTTAAGGGCATTCTATAAATTTCTATAGAACTATGTGTATTCGATTTCAGAATTGAAAACTAAGCTATTGCATAATACCTTTTCAACAGTAATATTATATCGAATAAGAGCTTTTACATATTCTTTCTATGAATAAAGTTTGAAATATTATAGCTAAATTAAAATTCTTGTGTTCTTTTCTCTACTCTTTGATTCCCCTATATGTACCTATATACTGAAACTCTTGTTTGCTATATCTAAATAGCATATATATGTAAATTATGCTTTTATGTAATTTTTGCATTTTCCATATTGACAAAAAAAATCGCATGATGGTGAGCAACAACCGATGCATAAATGCTGTGCATCAAAAAAGAAATGCATCATGGCAAAAAAAAATATATTTAAAAAATATCTAAAAAATATTTAAAAACCTATTAAATGCAGCAGACGCATCAATGATAAACCAACGCCATACAAAAAGCTGCAATTAAAACAACCAGTTGCAGACACATAAATCAATAAAAACTGTCGCATTAAACAAATAGTGTGGGTTGGAGAGATCGAGAGAAATTGAATTTTTAGTGAGCCGGAATGAATGGATAAAATAAAAACATATGTATATATATACATATAGAGCATATATTGCAGCAGATATAAGAATAAAAGAGAATACTATAAAATAAATAAATAACATATAATAAAATGAAATAATACAAAATAAAATAAAATAATATAAAATGATTTGAAATAAATAAAATATATAAAATACAATAAAAAATAAATAAAACAATATAAATTAAAATAATATAAAAACTAAATTAAATAAAATAGTTTTATATAAAATAAACTAAATTAAATAATTTAAGNAAAAAATAAAATAAAATAAAAAAATGTAAAAATTTTAAATAAAAATCTTTAACACTAAGCAATGAAGCAATTTAAAATATTTTTTAATCAATTTATATTTATATTAATATTTTATTTTTAATTCAAGTAAAATAAAATAAAACAAGCTAAAATAATAAAATGAAATAAACTGAAATAAAATAAATTGAAAATAAAATTAGACTAAATAAAATTAATTTAAATTAAATTAAATTAAAACCAAAATAATTAAATAAGTTGAAATGCAATAAAATAAAGTAAAATAAAATAACAAGAAAATAATAATAATAAAATAAAAGCTAAAAAAAATTCCTGCTTCATGGAGCAGGTCATCTCTACCCTAAGCACTGTCTCCCAATCAGTTTAACTTCGCATCACCTAAAAACTTTGGAGCGCCCAGTGGGCATTCATATCAAGCAAAATATGAATGGCAAGCTACTCTCGAAAGCGAAACTTACTGAGTTTTCACTCGTGACAAGTGATTAAGCTCTAGGCCTAATACTAAAATTTGAAATGATACAAACTTATACATTTGTTTACTGATATCTACTAATACATATATGTATGTATGAGATAGAGAGTAAACATGCAAATACTGCTTACTTTTGATGAGTAATATGAGTCAGTGACGCGCAATGAACTGTCAGTCAATGTCGCAAGCTTTCCACTGCATACATACATACGTACATATTTATGCATTTTTATTATTTATGATATTTTGCATACGTCATAACAGCAAGTTTTCGTATTAAGATTTAATATTTTTTCTTGATCTTAACGGTTGGCTAACCACAGGTCACTTTGCCTTCAATTTTTTATGTTCATTCTACACTGAACCTTTTTTTTTGTTTATTCGCCAGTTTTGCTGAATTTTCGTCATCACACATTGAGTTGTGCATATTTAGTGTGGAATAATTATTGCATATTCCAATGACTCAAAACGCTTACTTAGCACAGTTTGCATCGTAAATCTTTATGAATTTCTAGCGACTTAAACTTGACGATAATTAGATATTTTAAAAAACATTTAAAAAACTATTAAAAATAATGTTTTTTGTGATAAAGAGTCTTTTGTTCAATGGGGTTCTACGAAAAAAAACATGAATATCAATTTTTTAAATGTTCCTTCAAAGTCGTCGAGATCTCAAGGCTGAGAAAAATCAATATTTTTTTAAATTTCAGATAAGGTTTTGACCTCTCTGTGATGTGTCATCCGTAAATATCATCAAATAAGCCACAAGATAAGGAATCCCCTTGCATTAAGCTTCATCCGATATCAAACGGCTAGGAGAGGTCTTTCCGGATTGAGACAAAGTTTTGGGTTTTGCTCAACGTCAGCCTACACATGAATTCAGACGCAGCGAGTTGTGTAGAGCAGCTTCTTTTCAACGTTTTCGAAGCAGCCTAAGACAACACGTATGGATTCTTTTCGCACTTGTATTTTCCAAGACTCGATTATCTGGACAGAGATTGTTTTACCAGGTCTTATGCCACACAGAGTTTGTTGGTCTTTCACAAAATATGCCTTATGAGACCTTATATGCGATCCCATGGTAATTTGCGCAAAGGTACTGTGGGATCCCCCTTTTTGTGGTTGGGGTAGAGCTCACTTGGGTTCTAATCGTCAGGCATGCTTTCGCCCGACCACACATTGCACAGAAGCTGTTGTATGCGACTCAGTTTTCCCGCCGTATTTGAATAGCTCGACCGGCACCATTTTGGGCCTTACAAGAGTTTTCTCCGGTCTCGGAAACTGCTTTAAGTTCGCCGTATCTCCGACTATCACACTTATCGAATAGCTTCTCAAGCTTTTCGCATCCACGCATCTCGGCTACTTTCTTATTTTGTCTTGCTTCCCTCTTCAACTCTCGGTATCTATTCCACACCGCAGATGTCGTGGTCGATCGCAACGTTGCGAGGTAAGCACTTATTTTTCACTCCCTTGCGACACTCGGCGAGGTTGAAGATATTTGGCTGAATTTTTCGATATTTATGTTGAAGATACCTTCTTTGCATACCCTGACGGTAATGTCACACATCATGGCTGGGGAAATATTCATGAATATAATCCTTGATGGTGGCCGCCTTCATGCGGATTGTGACTTTCAACTTTCAGGGCGAATATCAGCATTCGCCGATGAAGTCTCTCCACGTATCCAACACCAAATTAGCGCTTCTCTATATATGGGCGCTGTCGTAAATGTCACAAGCAACGTACATCGCACTTCGTGGACGGCGGTGATGTCAGCGTTTGCTCTTACGTGGAACTCAACAAGCTGAGCAGCGACATTCTTACTTTGAAGGCTTTGCACATACCAGGATGTATGCCCTTAAATCATAGTTCTTAATACATACAGGTCGCTTCAGACCTGGTAAATCAACCGTTGACCAGATATTCACCATGCGACAAATCTTGGAAAATACCCGTGAAAAGAGAAGCGACACCCACCACCCCTTCGTCGATTTTAAAGCCGCCTTCGACAGCACGAATAGGAGCTGCCTTTATGCCGCTATGACTTACACGGCTGGGTAAGCTGACGATAGACAATACCAGAAGCGCAGTTAGAATTGGAAAGGACCTCTCCGTGCCGTTCGATACCAAACGAGGTTTCAGATAGGTTGACTCTTTGTCGTGTGATTTCTTCAATTTGCTGCTGGAGAGAATAATAAGAGCTGAATAGAGAAGGTACAAACTTCTATAAGAGTGTACAACTACTGGCGTCAGCCGATGATATTGACATTGTCGGCCTTAGCAACCACGTCGTTAGTTCGATAAAGAAGCGAAGCAAATGGGTCTGGTAGTAAACCTTGAAATCCAGCGCAGAATCACTCTTGTCAACAGGTGCTACGATAGACTGAGTAGGCAATTGAAAAGTAAAGTCCTCTCCCGACGTATGAAAACCAAACTCTACAAATCCCTCATCGCGGAAGCATGAACGTTGACAGCATATGATGAGGCGGCGTTAGTGGTAACTCCAAATATCGCAGGCGATGGAATGATGAGCTGTACGAGCGACATTCATATAGTTCACCGAATCAAAAAGCAGCGGCTACACTAGCCAGGTCACGTGGTCCGGTTGGATGCGAATACTTTAGCTTTGAAAGTATTGAATGCAGTACCCGCCGGTGGAAGCAGAGGAAGGGGAAGACCTCCATTCCGTTGGAAAGACCAGGTAGAGAAGGACCTGGTTTAACTTGGTTTTTCCAATTGGCGCCAAACAGCAAAAAGAAGAAACGAATGGCGCAATGTTGTTAACTCGGCTATAATCGCGTAAGCGGTGTCTACGTCAGTAAAGTAAGTAAGTAACACATTTTCATTGGTTGTTGTCTAGTTTCCAAGTGACGGGTTCCAAACCCCGCGCACAACATACGAGTGTTGTTCTCTTAAATTAAAATAGACTGTCTATTAAATTTAATATCATAAATAGCATACCTTTAATGAAGCTCAGAAAAAATTACTCGTAGGGATGAATGAAATCTGAAATTAAAAAATAAAATTAAATTAGTATCGTTACTGAAATATATACATATATGTGGTATGTGTGTATGTTTGCTTTTATTACGGTCAATTAGGGAACAAGTGAATACGATTTCTATAATTACTCAATACTATTCTTCAATAAATCCGTGTATATTGATTGCCTGATTAAATAAGTGGTTTGCTAGCGTAATTTAAACACATACACACACAGGCGTATAACGTTTATATGTATGTACATGTGCATCTAAGCCATAAATAATTGTAAATAAACAATGAAAATGAGAATTTTTATTATTGCATTTTTTTTTTGTACTTAATGTCTTTTTATGAATGAATTTAAGATTTTTTTTTTTTTTTTTACTATACGTACATATGTACATATATGATAGATACTTATCAAATGCACTGTGCGCGTTATGGGTAGCAAAATAAAAATAATAAAGCCGCAAAGTCACAATGAAATAACACTTGAAATAAATAATAACAATGGTTTTACGAGTGCTTATTGTGTTCTCATATCAATAGAGTAATTATATACATATATTTGTCTGTGTCGAATTGTGTCGCTTATCTAAGCGTTTCCTAGAAATTGAAAGTGAACTCTTCTAAAAACATATAGAGATATGAAAATACATATATACATATATACATACATATATTTACATGTTATACCAATATGAGCATATATGTGAATCAGTGCTGGCACATACATATGTACATATGTTTAAAGTACATAGGATCTAGTAAAAAGTAATCCATTATTTTTGCACGGGACAGCTTTTGTTCTGCACCTCACGTTCTATAAGTGCGATTCCATACGCCAGATGGCATTAGAAAAACGATATTTTGAACTAAAAAAGTTTAGTGGGAATAATGTTGATCACTTAACTCAGGAGGGGTAGGGCGCATGTCAAAGATTGACCCCAGCAAAGAGAAAACAAGCTTTATTCTACAATTTTTCTTCGATAAAGTCAAAAACGCCAGGCAAGCAGCTAAAAGTGTGTCTGTTGTTTACGGATCTGATACCCTAACAGTCAAACATGCACATTTTCGGTTTCGTCTATTTCGTTCCGATAATTTTAATATAAAAGATGCTCCACAATGTGGAAGACCAATTGTCGAAAATGTCGATAAAGTAATGAAAATTATCGAGTCTGATCGCCATGCGACCACTGTTTCGATTACCCAGAAGCTAACATTATACAAAAAGTAGTTTGGAACTACTCAAAAAATGCTGGATACACAAAGAAGAGAGAGAGCGTAAAACCCTCACAAGTCGAACTTCCAACAACGAATCGATGATGAATCGTATCGCTTTCTGAAGCGGATGGTGACTGGTGAAGAAAAGTGGAACACTTACAGCAACAACAATTAAAAACGGCACCTGCGGGTTAGAGGTTCAAGAATTTATCCGCGGTAAGGCATAGCTATCGTAAGAGGCGATTAAAATCCAATAGTTCCCGCGACAGTCGGATCTTTATACCGGAACGACCTGGATTTTTATCTGGCCAATGACTGCTACTCCCGCAAAATTTCCTAAAAAGTACTTTGGGAAATTTTGTTTGCGGTTACAACAACAACAACAACGGCTGTGGCCGAATGCAGCGAGCCGTGGTCGAATACAGCGAGCCGTGGTCGAATACAGCGAGCCGTGGTCGAATACAGCGAGCCGTGGTCGAATACAGCGAGCCGGCACTTACGGTCTCTAAGCTAGGAACGACGGCTTATAGTCCGAACCCCACACCATTTAATCACAATCGGTTTCTGTCTAAGGGGAATGAAGGAGGAAAATTTGACTCAAGGGAAACCGGTGAAAATCTATTGTTATAGGGGGGCTGGGGTTTCTATGAGAGAAGCTAAAACATTTTATTTTTTCTTAATGGCAAAAAATTGTCGAACAAATCGCCATAAATTTGTCATAAATCGGATAGTTTTAACTATGGTAAATAAAGCCTTCAGTTTAATGCGAAAATGATGGATGACTTTTTACTATAACAATATACATACCAAAAGTATGGAAAATTAATTTAAAATAAAAAATTAAGTTAAACTTTTTAATTACAGTCGCTGCTGGGAAGGGAATATCAATCTCTCTGAGTGTAATTCGGACAAAAAAATAAAAACTCCTCAGAAAAAAACCGTAGCCCCTCAGAGGCGACTTAGTAAATATAAACTACGGGTTGCTCCATTCGTTGGAAAAACATCAAGTCGCAAAACCAGAAATCGGAGTAGGAGTTCGGCCGAAAATCGCTTCAGCGGTTACAAAGCGTCAATTATATACATATGTATATTAGGTCAAGTAAAAAGTTCGTTCGGCTTTTTTTATTGATTTTTTCAAAATATGATAACTTTGTGTACATTTTACTTGACCTAGTATATATATATATATATATATATATATAAATATATATATATATACATACATATATACTCTTTGCTCATTTATAATAATATTTACTCAAAAAAGCAATTTATTTACCATTATTGTTATTATTTTTGTTTACACAATAAATGCTCTTATGTTTGTCAATAAAAGTAGGCTAACATAATCATTAGTGGAAAATAATTTAATCAGAGAATAACACGCAATTGATTAGTTTGATGGTTTAATGGCATAAGCTTAATAACAGTCGCATGTTTGGATACTGGAATTGTAACGCGTATATACATATATTATTTCTATTATTATTATTTTTTTTTTTGTTAGGAAAATATCTTTTTAAAATTAATAATTGGTTTAAAAAAATCAGATTAATTCATAAATTTGGTTTTCATTAATTAATTAATTTTTTTTATGATTTTTTTTTTACATTTTGCAATCATCGATCATGACGCTGTAGCCTTCCCCATTGACAGTAACCTTATTGCCGGCTTTATTTTGATGAATTATGAACCAATGATTTCCTGTGCCCATAGACCAATGACTTTTTGAGGTTGTAGACGAATGTGCGACTCGCCTGATGATTGTTCGACTTCAATTTTTGCAAAAGTTGGATTTTGTAATCCCACAAACCAAGATCCCTTCGCATAATATTCCAAAAAACTTCCAGAAAGTGTATGCGCATAGCTAAAATAGTTGCTTCTTATGGTAGATGGACTCATTCGGGTCTTCTTTGGTATTCTGCTCCACAGCGTAAACGTGGTGCGAAACGGATTCATGGTCGCTCGAACTACTAACTCTGCTGTACAATGATGTTGGACGAAGAAAAATATGGCAGCTGTATCAGCCAGTGTTAGTGATGACCGTGACCCCCTGTGGATTAGGGGTTTAAGAATTTACCCCCGTTAGAGGGCGTCTTAATTCCAATAGTTCCCGCGATAGTCGGGTCTTTATACCGGAAGGACCCGGATTTTTATGCGGCCAAGGATTATCACTCCCGCACCAATCCCACAAAGAGTACATTGGGAATATTTTTGAGGTTGCGACAACAACAACAACCGTGAATGATCGCCATGCGGAAAGATTTTGTTGTTAAACCTTTTGAATTGAAATTACACGACCGAAACATATGCGTACAAGCAGAAGAGTGAAAGCAACTAGAAGCTTGAAAGGATCTACCAAAGCAATCCGTTTGATCAGCGAGCTCTACCGTGCGAGGATTGCAAATTTTTTTTATATTGCCAAATTGGAACAGCTGAACTTGTCTGACATGTGGTTTTAATAAGACGCAGCCACATGTTGTATGGCAACACCACCACGAGGCCAGTCAATTGGCCACCTAGATCGTGTGATTTAAAGCCTCGACAAACATTAAATTACTTTGACATTCAGGTCGAGCCGATACTCCATCGGCCAGCTGGTGAAAAGGGTTGCCATGAATGCTGATCTACTACTAACATTATATGGGGGTTGAAAGACGAAAGCAGAAAGGCCACAAGCGCATTCGTTACTGGTAAGAGGAGAGATATCCTGTGATATGACTCTCCTTCGTCGTAGGGTTACCAAGCTAGATTGAGAGCTTTGGTGTGGAATTTTGCTCCCAGATGTTTCAGCATTGCATTCAAAAGCCTTCTGTATGTCTTTCTTTTTGAAATCAGTCATCGCGCTGATCTTTTGCGTATGCTAAAGCAAACTGTGAGCCGCACTCTGAACAGCGATAATCCTCAACCATTTGGCTGCCGTGATCCATGAATTCCTCACTACAAAATGGCGTAGCAGAAATAAAGAGTACTTTTGTTTTGTGTCAGGCTAATACCAGTCACAGTAACGAACCTTTACCCGGATGTTCGGCCTCGACATATCAAAATATATACTAACATTCACCAATTCATTCCTAAGGCTTGCAGTGAGGGTTCTTTCCGATCACAGTCTGATTGGTATACAAGCAAACGGTATGAAAATGCCTACTGACCTATATTGCGGAAGCTACACTAGTGTTAAGTTATCTCTGCACTTCCTCTCTCATATTTTTATAACAATCCCAGGGATCTATTGGGTTATAAGGTATGCAGACTTCTTACGTTCAAGATGGATTCTAAACCTTTTGCTGAGTTGCAAGTTTGAACCGGCTTCCGGAAATTGTTTTTTGTTTTCGATAAACGCGATTTGATTCATCATTAACGGGACAGACGATCAATAAAGAGCGTTTTGAGGCGTTTGTGCGAAAGCAAACTCCGTAAACAGCCTGAACTGTGGGCCAACAATTACCAGAAACTTTTATGACGATAACGCGCCATCACACCGAGCTGTAGTTGTGAACGGTTGTAAGACCAAAAACTCATTCAACACCATCGATCAAGCACCGTATGCATCGGATTCGGCCCCATGTGACTCTGCTTTGTTTCCTAAACTGAAGTTAACACTTCGTGAAACCCGTTCCGACACGTTTGAGGCCGTAAGAGCAAATCGCAGAGGGAACTAAGATCACGCTAATTTTTGGCACAGTAATTGAGTACAGTGCTGCCAATTTAACAAAAAAAAAAGGTGAAAAATATTTAGCACGTGCAGTTTGTATGACAAATTCCGGAAATTTTCCGGCCTTAATGCAGAACAGCCC